GACTACAATGGCGCGTTGCGGCCACAGATTCATTACAGTCCGCCAATTGATTTCATGGTAAGTCGATGCAGGCCTAAGCCAAGTCCAATTTCAAACTCCGCAAAGGCTTTCTTTTTATAGGTCGTGCAGGAGGAGTAGAGTATTGAAATACAGGAGCGCAAAAAATCAACATGGCACGTCCTCTGACAGAACGATAGAATGATCCCAATGGCATGTTTCTCGACGCCAATGGCACCTATCACCTTTACTATCAATGTAAGGGTCGTCCACGCGTCTCTGAATGAGGCCAGCGTTGAATTGATCTTCAGATAACCCAACGGACATTGTGGCGGGTAACCAACACTGGGGCCATGCTACTTCTCGAGATTTGTACACCTGGGAGAACCAGAAGATCGCGATATACCCAGGTGCCGAAGGCGAAGGCATCTTCTCCGGCTCTGCAGTCATCGACGTGAATAATACGAGTGGTTTCTTCCCAAATCAGACCAATGGCGTCGTCGCTATGTACACTTTGAACACCGCGCAGGAGGAGGTGCAGGATATCGCCTACTCCACAGATGGCGGGTATACTTTCACCAAATACGCCAGCAACCCCGTCATCTCAATCAATAGCACCCAGTTCCGGGATCCAAAAGTGCTTTGGTATGCACCCACAAAGTCATGGGTTGCAGTCATTTCGTACGCTCAAGACTTTGTCATCGGCATTTTTACATCACCCAACCTCACCAACTGGACCCACGCCTCCAATTTCAGCCATGCCGGGCTCTTAGGACTTCAGTATGAGTGCCCAAACCTCGTCTCCCTGCCAATGCTCAAAAATGCTTCTCTTGCTGAGCCACTGGATCCTGCCAACTTTGCTTCGACAGATGAAATGTACATCTTGCAAATCAGCATCAACCCGGGAGCTCCTCAGGGTGGATCCATATCCCAGTACTTCCCCGGCACGTTCAACGGCACCCATTTCACCACTGCAGACGCAGCCACCCGGCTCACAGACTTTGGCAAAGACAATTACGCTGGCCAATTCTTCTACAACATCCCCGCAACGTCACCCCAGATCAGCATCGCTTGGGCCAGCAACTGGGAGTACGCCCAACTGGTCCCCACTGGGGTACGTACATTTCGGAGCCGATCCTTCCCATTTGGTTCTGAAATTGAGTTGCAAGATATTTTTGGGAGCAAGAGGACCTTTCTAGTCCCGAGACTAGTCTCGCAACTCCATCACCTACCTCGTATAAGCATTGCTGACGCCGAAATCTGCGCAGCCTCTCGAAGATTTCCGCTCTTTCATGACAATCCCGCGTCTCAACGTGCTCGCAAACACAACACGTTCAGAATACACCCTCCTCTCCTACCCTTATCCCTACTCTTCTCTCTACACAACACCAACTCCCCTAGCCAACTCGTCCACCCTCGCCAACACCTCGATCCTTTATGACTACTCAACTACCATCCCTAGCGGTGCCCTCTCCTTCTCCATGAACATCACCTCCATCCCCGTCGCCAACACAACCGGTACCGCGAATTTTACCTTTCTGTCCTCCATAACAGGCGAGTATGTCCGCGGCGGGGTGTTTCTCAACGGTGGTAACGGAGGCGACACGCCGGTTTGGTTGGACAGAAGCCATACCTATGGCTTCTCGAATCCCTTTTTCACCGATAAGTTCAGCACGAGTCTGTGGCGAGATCCTGATACGCAGGACTTTAGGTTGCTAGGGGTCTTGGATAGGAGTATTCTGGAGGTGTTTGTTAGTAATGGGGAAAGGGCGGGGACGATGACATTCTTTCCACAAGGTGTGCTGGATACGGTTATCTTGGGGACTAATGATTTGAATCCTGGGGTCCAGGTTAGTGTGGAATTGTATGGATTGCGGAGTACGTGGGCTGGAGAGGAGAGTGGAAATGCTACGATGACAAAAAGGGCATCGGGGCAGGTTATGAGGAGGGACAACCTAGGGCACTTGGGCCAAGCGTGATAGGTACCGCATGTGTGATCATCATGGGCGTTGCTCTTGCTCTTGTAAAATGACTTGAGTCTCTGGTGCCCGCAATGCCCAAAGCCGTACATAGCGTAGACAGCACAAAAGCAATGAATCGGAAAGTGCAAAAACCGCGTTCGCTGTCAAAGCTTCAAGAGCAACTACCTCGATCATGCCACAAGTCTGCCCAGCCTCTCCTCAGCATCAGCAATCTATCCCACTAACACTAGAGGGGAAATTCCCTTAATGCAGCTCCAGTTCTGAAGTCAGTAGTCCCTATCTACAGCGTCGTCAGCATTTCCGCAATTCTTCCTGCAAATGCGGGGACGAGATTGCTCGAAGCGAGAGCAGGATATCAGAAGTCCGTTTAGATCATCGAGCCGGTAAAGGCTCTGACATAAGAGGTACCAGAAATATTGTGTAATAGGAATTATCATCATGTGATTGCTCGAAGGAAGGTATGCTATGTGCTTGGAAAGAACGGCACAACGTACCTGTGCCCTATATTTTGGGAAAAGCTCGTTGCTGTTGGAGATTCGCTCGGCTTCGGTGACTCTAGAAGCTCGGAAGACTGTTGGATAGCAGACATAGAGCGCAACCAGATGTGGTAAGTAAGTAGTGAGTGAACTGCCAACATAGTCGAACTCCAAGACGGAAAGTTGAGTTGCCAGCTTTACGCAACGAAAGTCTAGGGACCCCTGGGCTTGAGGGATTGCAATTACAGCGTTGTTTCGAAAAAGACGACTTATTATTGTTGCAATCTGTACGGCTCTTTGACTTCCAGATCCAGGGGTAGAACTTTGGCGTTGAGCTGGACTTTTGAGCATCACAGGGACTCCGCTGCAGCTGATGCTCTTCATCAGATAGATGAGCTAGCAAGGAAGAAGTATCCAGTCGCTGACGACATTGCGAATGGTGTACCAGAAGACACCCGGATGCTCAGATCTTTGAAGCTCGAATGCAGCAGGGAGTTGCAAAGATTTCCAATAAACCTCGGCCAAAACCCGCACTCGCTAAAACCAATTAGCGCAACTCTTGGCACCCACTATCAGACCTCAAACCAACTTCTCGCTCTAAACCTCTAAACCTCAGTCACCGACACACGACAAATCGCAATCATGGGTCGCCTCCACAGCAACGGCAAAGGCATATCAGCCAGCGCGATCCCCTACTCCCGCACACCGCCCGCATGGCTAAAAGTGACCCCTGAGCAGGTGGTGGATCAGATCTGCAAACTCGCAAAGAAGGGAGCGACGCCGAGTCAGATTGGTGTTGTTCTCAGGGATTCGCATGGGGTGGCACAGACCAAATTCGTTACTGGTGAGTTGGCTACATATTTACGGAGAACAGGAGTCGATAGTGTTGAAGGTGTAGGGCGATTGCTAACATGGCGACATAGGGAATAAGATTCTGCGCATTTTAAAGTCGAATGGTACGCCAGACTCATTGTAAAACAGCTAAGGACTCGTTCCTGTAGCGATTTTACACGACATTGCCTCTGCTTGGTCTATGACTGACGGAGTGATTTCTTCATGACAGGCCTTGCACCAGAGATCCCAGAGGACCTGTACATGTTGATAAAGAAGGTAGCGTTGACCTCCATTGTCCCATTCTCTTTCAATTCCTCTGTTTCAGAGAGGGGACCTGGCGCTGACGAATGTTAGGCCGTCGCCGTCCGCAAGCATCTCGAGCGCAACCGCAAGGACAAGGACTCTAAATTCCGTCTCATCCTCATCGAATCCCGCATCCACCGCCTTTCGAGATACTACAAATCTGTAGGTGTTCTGCCGCCTACCTGGAGATACGAGAGCGCGACTGCGAGCACGATGGTGGCTTAGGTTGGGGTAAAAGTGATGCTGGAGCGTGGTGGAGCGTTGAGAGGGAGACGTGCTGTTGATGGGAGGCATGAAGAGGTTGAGCAAGGACTGCCTGCAGAAGTTCAAGTCTAGTGCTACTAGGTACAACAAAATCCAAGATCTTGCAACCCAAGCCTACATTAATCAAACTTTTGGTACCCGTTTCACATGCTTCGCCGCATGTATGGAGACACAGGGGAGGGTATCTAACCGCCCAGAAACCCAACAACTCCATCGCTATGCATTTGGACTATCTTCTCGTCTTCAAGTGGTGCTCTCCTGCTTGACCCCTTCCAGATCCCTACTCCTCTGCAGCAAAAACTCGCCTAGAACTTGTAGCGGATTCTCTGGCCTGTAGATCCAACACGTTGATTAGCCCCTCTCCCTCTCCCACAAACATCCACAGTCTTCGACGTCCCGATAAATCATCGTACGTACTGATCAGCAGCCAACCTCTTCATCCCCTCCAACAGCACCCCCGTGACCTTCTCGTTCAAATACCGCCTCGCCGGCGCCCCGTGACTTGCCGCTTTCGAAGGCATTGGCGGCGCCACCTCTGCTGCAGCGGTGCCGTTGACGTGCCGAGTGGGCGTTGCGGTGCGTTGCGTGGCTGGGATGGGGGTGGGTGGTATGGGAGCGTAGTTCATTTGGGGGAGTGGGGGCTTGAAAGTGAGGGTTGATTAATGAATGGATCAAGGGAAAAAGGGGTGGGCGAGGGCATGCGAAAACGTACGGCTGCTTCTGGCATTTCGGTATCGAGGTTGGGTTCGGATAGGGCGGCGTTGGGGGGGAGCACTGGTTCTGGGGGTGGAAGGTCGGTGATTGAGTGGATGTTGTCGATTGGGGGAATTGGGGTGGATGCGTCCGGGGCATCTGCCGGAGATTTGGGGGTTTCTTCTGCCATTATTTTCGTTGCAATTGGCACAATTCTGGAGTGCTCTCTGGTGATAGTTGTGCTCCGTTGAAAATGCTGAGGATACTCATTTGGGAGAATTGCTAGCGCGTCCGGGATGACTTGCCTCACGCGACGTGCCTGTCGATCACTCGAGATGCATGATGCTCTGACTCTAATTCTCCTCGTTGGTCTTTATTTGTCGCCCGGAGAGTTCAAGATACTGCTGTCAAGCATTGGAAAGATCGTATTCACGTAATGCTTTAGACCAACATGGCGTTGCAGGCACGAAGTCATGCATCTCATAACCAGATGCTTGGCCATCGAGTCCGACATCCCCCATCTACCAATTATGACGATGACTTCGAAACCCCGACCGGAAAGCGGCTCAAGAGACTCGATAGCACAGATAGCTCTCTATCTCGCGGAGGAGATTCAGACCTTGAGGATGAAGGCAGAACAACTCCGATTCAAAGGACCCCTGTTCGACCATCTCGAGAGGTCCCAGACTCAGAAGCAGACTCGGATGACGACGACAATATTGTCCAAGACGGAGACCGAAAAACAGAGCTCGAAAGTGCCCTACCTCCAGTCAAAACCGACAAGGAAGCAATTGCTGAATATGAAGCAACGAGAGCTGCTGAAGCGGAAAGCCTCGACCTGCATGGACGTCTGGGCCAACGGAAATGGCTTCCGGGCAAGAGCTCCATCTACGTGGATGCTTTCAACCTGGCTCTAGAAACTGTGCTGGAGGATGAGTCACATCTGTTTGATGAAGCTGAGATGGCCGTCTTTGAGCAGTGGAGGGACATGAGCTACGAGGGGCAGTATTTGTAGGTAAGACTCCATCTTGAAAGACTCTTGACAAGATTTGATGTTTTCGGCAGGTACGTAAGACTGTTCCTCCGTAAAACTGCAGCATGGCATAGAACCAATCGGTTGAAGTACTACGGAGACATCGCAGATCTACCAGCTGCTGTCAAAGATCTTTTGGAGCCACGGACACTTCCAGCAGTGAAGCACTCTACCCAGACCAATCCTGGCGAGGCTGAACCTCCTAAAGAAACCGTATTGCACGACACGTTCACTTTTGCAGACGGATCTGGCCGTCACATTGACACACTGGAAGAGGCATCATCTCTCTTAAAGCTAGATGAGCTCAAAGCTGTTGCAAAGGAAGCGAAGGTCCAAGGCAAAAATAAAGGCGAGCTGTTGAAGGCACTACGGAAAACGAGTCAGGGTCAAGGTGGCCTCGGATGGGCCGTTTTGAAGAGATCGGATACAGAAGAGCCTGAGCAATCAGAAAAGGGGACTCTAGCAGATGAAGAAAGTTCCGAGGAGAAAGAAAACCTCGATGGTACCAACGTCAACCGGGACACTCATTTTGTCCGGAAGATATTGGCAAGCACCGGGCCTTGTATACGTCTCTCAGCGCCAACCCTGAAGCTATTTGAGCGGGTCCACCTCGTATTCTATCGCTCGACAGAGTGGACGGAGAAATCCCTCACTACGATCATACTTGCTCGGATAGCAAGGCGCAATTTTCCGGAATACATCGTCTCAAGATCAACGAACATCTTCTCTTCTCGATCGGACTTGCTGGAGTTCGAAGCTTCCATCCGTACACAGTTCAACATCGACTTCATCCTTGAATTCAACGGTACTGTAAGGAAGGACGGCCTGCAGAAGGTCAAAAATGTTTTCGAAGAGGTTTACCCGCGCTGGCAAGTCATCCTCAAGGAAGAGCAGCGGAAGGAAGATCGCATTTATGAGAGCGGAGAAGGAGCATACCTCCGCCGCTTTTCGCCCGCGTGGGTGTACACCAGGATTGTCCACAAGGGAACGTATGTACTAGGACGTTTCAAGGAACACGAACGAGAACACCAAATGTTGACCGAGCTGCTGATTCAGCGATTATTCCATGCGGCACGACGAGGAGCCTGGTATCAGCGGAAAGCCTTGTTGGAGGAGCACTACATGTGGGCCCTCAAGCCTGATGAAGGGCGTTCCGAAGATGCTCAAAAGAAGCATTGGAAGAAGATTGCTCTTCAGACGTGCGAGGATGGTCTGCAAGACAGAGAATGCCATCTAATCTACCACTACGACCTGCAGAAACGGGTCATGAAATTAGAAAAAGCCTTGAAAATGGTGAAACGAGAGCAGCATGACTTTGGGCACGTTCGTTTGGGAAAGCCAGTGGAGAGATTCGTCGAGGGAATCAGGATTGAGAAGGAACGTACACCGAGTCGGAATGGCACGCGAAGAGACAGCGATGCAGGCCCCCGAAGAGGCGGCAAGACCATCTGGGTTGATGAACGGGAGGGTGGCGGCGAATGCAGCGTGGAAGCAATGTGCCTGAGTTGGTATCGAGACCAAGGCTGGAAGGGCTACCACTCAGAAGGAGGCATTGTTCGAACGCTCTTCGGCTACCTGTTCTACGACGTGCTCTTCACCTACATCCCCAACGTCTTCCAAACGCCTTATCAAGCCTGCCCACTCGATCTCCACACGGACGCTTTCTATCCCTCTCGAGCTTCAGAGATCAACCATCGCCTCGTCGAAATCGGCAACGGCGACGCCTCAAGATTGCTTCAAGAAGTCTACGACCGCGAACACGAGAAACAGACCTGCGTTGTCGGTATCGACTGGTCCTACGACTTCGATGACTTACTAGACATCGTCAAATGCTTTCAAGGAGAGGCTTTGGCGACTATCTGCAAAGTCATGGCGCAGGAGTATCAGCAACGAGGAGGCGGTATTCCGGACTTGTTCCTTTGGCATCCAGATAATGGCGAGGTGATGTTTTCGGAGGTGAAAAGTGAGAATGATCGCCTGAGTGATACACAGAGATTGTGGATCCATGTGCTGACAGGAGCGGGTATCAAGGTCGAGCTTTGTAATGCTGTTGCTAAGGAGGTTAGGACTCAACGTTGATGCTAGGAATCAAGATCAATTGTTTACACCGCTTTCGCCACCCTTCGACGGCGATTGCATTTAGTATCACAGACCTAGGGGCACCACTAACCTTGCCCTCAGTTGGTTACATAGCCAGAGATTTCGAGAGTTTGCCACCATGAGCAATGGGCATCAGCGAATAGCTGCGCCCTTTTCAGCTTCAATCATGCTCAAGTCGTAAGCCTAGACTTAGCTGCGTAGCCGATGCCGCCGCTATGGTACAGAACCCAAGCCTAGTCGTTGACGGCCTCCTCGTTAGATACCTCCGACCGTGGCACTTTACGGACCGCTATTTCTTCCAAGTTCGATACTGCAGCCGGATTGATCCCTTCTTATATCCTTACGATGGACAATCTAACCAACTGCACATTTTGTCTTTGTCAGCTCTTGCTCCTTGATTGGACCATCCTTTCAGGCAACAGAATTTCCTCCAGTCCAAGCTTTTTCTGCTTCTTGTGCATTCTTCCTTTGCTTCACCTTCCACCTCACCTCACTTCACCTCACCTCACCTTACCTCACCTCACCTCACCTCACCTCACCTCACCCCACCCCACCCCACCTCGCCTCGAGACCGTACCCATAGCTATCCAACCAGCGAAACCACCATGCATCACTCAATGAACCTACAAATACTCGTGAGCATATGCCGCGACTTTGACTCTTGGTCCGAGAATTTGGCAAGAAGATGGTTCGTTTGGATATCGTCGACTGTTCTCGCTTATGAGATGAGGATGGCGGGGCGCTAATGGGCGATAGAAGCGTGGGAGGACGGGAGTGCGGGAGTGCGGGAGTGCGGGAGGGCGTTTGGATGCTGAGTGAGCGGACACAGATGGGTGGCCGGGTTAGGCGAGGAGGTTTTTGGTTTGCTGACATGCTTTATGAAGGATGCGGGGAGGATTTCCCCGTGTGTGTGTGTGATAAGGAGATGTAAGGATCCATGATGATTGTGTCCGGCGACGTGGTAGAGAGCCTTGGGTTCAGCGGCGTGGTGCAGGAGAATGGTCGGCGAGGCTTCGGGGGTGTGATGGGAGGTGTACGGCACTGACTGAGTCTGGGCGTCGTGAGTGCAGAAGTAGAGGACGTCATCTTATATTCGCGTGTCAATGTTCACACAGTCGCAAGCCTTTTCTGTCTCTCGTGTTGCACCTATCTTATTCCCAACGGTATTCTGACGCGGAGCCATCACATACCCTGGGGATCCATGGGTTGCAAACGCTCCACTGCCGCAATCCCGCCCCACATCGTGCCTGCGGCTTTTCTTCTCCGAAGCCCCAGTCAAGCTGACGACTTTGATGAAAAAATGAAGGGTGGAGACGGAGCCTCGGGGCCAGCTGGTGGCGGTGTGTGTGAGGGCCTAGAGAGGGAAGAAAGGAGGAACGATTAGTAGTACCTACCCATCCCACGATCGAAGATTCAAGAAGCTCAATATGATGGCAGCAACGTCAAACGACAACATCAATCCAGTATTCCCAGCGCCTTCTACCCAGGACAAAGGAAAAAAAGTCATCAGCTCAAATCGGTCACCGCCAAAGAAGAGGATTGTTTTGTATGTTTGTGCCATCTGGGCTCTTTGAGTTTTTTTCGGGTTGTTTTTTGTGGGTTTCAGTGGAAGCAAGGAAAAACGAGATACTCAAGCATCAACCATGTCCACGTCGCCCTCATCGTCCTCGGCCTCAGCATCAGGCCCCTCACCGACGAACCTGGTCTTGGGGAAATGCAGCTGACCGCGCCCGTGCGGCTCGATCCACCTGTCGACGTCGAACACCTCGTCGTAGCGCGCCCAGCAGACCTTGACGATCCAGCGGTCGACGATGCGCGTGGTGTTGTGTTCGAGCGCAAAGGATACGGTCTTGGGTTCCGTCTTCTTCTTCCTGATGGCCTTCGGCTGCTCCAGCCTTTGGGCAGGGCGAGCGGCGTCACGAGGTGCGTGCTCGACGCTGACACACACCGACGTGCGGGCGACGGTCTTGGCGAGGTTCGAGAACAGTCTGCGAGGCTGTCCGAGGTCCAGGGCCGAGAGTGTGCGGTAGCGGCGCGGTTGGGGTGCGCTGGGGAGAGGAAGGAAGTCCGCGAGGGAAAGGAGCTTGGTTGGTCGAGGGACGATTGGGGGTGGTGAAGGAGGAGGAGGAGTAGGGGTGATGTTGGAGGGTAGGAGGAGGGTGGAGAAGACGAAGATGAAAGGGAGGGAGGAGAGGAGGGTGAAGAGGGGAGACATTGCGTCTGTTGTTGATGGGGTAGGAGGAGATTGGTTTGGGGGGGAGAGTAGCAGTGAGAGAAGGTTTGTGAGTGCGTAAGACAGTTTGTGAGCTTGTTTGTGTGTGTGCAGAGTGTGTAGTGTCTATGATGAGAGCGTCAGGTACTCGAGAGTATCAGCAGTCAAACATTCGACGACGAGAGAAGGAGAGTCGGAGAAGCTGGAGTGTTTTGCACTTCGGCGGCACCCTAGCGTGTAAACAACTGGCATAGCAACGGCGGCAGCGAGCAGAAGCGAGTCGAAGCCGGCGGAAGAGTGATGTGTTGAGAAGATGGTTAGGGCTGGTACTAATCTCCGACGATTCTTGAGAGGGCGCTCTTTTCAGCTGGCTTTCCTCAGGCGGCTTTCCTCGACCAAGCTCAACATCCCGAGACTCCAGCAACAAGGAAGAGCTGTTCCGACTGTTTTTATTGGCTTCTTTGCACCTGTGAACACCCATCCAAGCCCGCTTCGTTGGTATTCCGATGCAATACCCCTAGATCGGTATACAGGCTTTTGCAGTCCTCTCAGACTTCGCCCTACTACCTCGACTCTCTGCCCATCCATTACCATCGCCTCATACTCCAGATGCCTGCATAACGGCGAACCTGGTCGGTCCCCTGGATTCACCAGCTTCAGGAGCAAATCGCCAGGGAAAAGACTCGGCGAGGAAAATACCATAGGTACAAGAGTTCGGGCTGTGCTCAATGCTTCTTGCGGTTGACCACGGATCGCACTCGGGAGCGTGGATTTCTCACGGGCTTGGAGCGTGGACTCGCTGCCAACAGCAGCTGTTCCTGCTTAGAGCCTGGCCCTTCTCGATTTTTTCACAATTGCTTCAAGCATTGTCCTTCGGGGTTTCGTTGAGATTCGTGGAGGCTAAACTTCACGAAGCTGCATCAAGCTGCGTACATATTATCATCATGGTCACAGCAGAGGAGACGATCTCTAGGAATGCCATCATATACGCGAAGGAAATATCGAGGCTACAGGACTTGAAATTGGAGGCCCAAAAAGGATGGTCAAGCGAAGGTCTGCTTCGATTGGCGGCGGCAAAGAAGGTGCATTCAATCTGGACGACGAGATCCACGATGCTGCGGAAATCAGGATCGTCGGTAGCCAATCTGGGGCCTGCTTATTGAAAAGGAAGAATGCTTGTTGAAGGCTACCTACCTTTCCCACGACTATAGTCTTCACTCTCTTTGTATCCGCTCTCGGCTGGGGAACGAACCAATCCCTCCGCGTGTTCACCTCTCCCAAATCCGTTGCGAAAAGCAATTTCTTCAATTTACGCAACACCGCCACAAGCATAATGTATAGTTCTCCCAGGCCCAGGTTGCAGCCCAAACAGCTGCGAGTACCCTCTCCACAAGGGATCAAGTACATATTCAGCCGGTTCTATTCACCCTCAAAGAGACACATCCATCTGACAAAGCTGAAGCGTCAACAAGTCCGAAAGACACGATGTTTTAATTGGAAGGTCTTACAACATACTATTGTATTTGAGGCGATAACGTTCATAGGTAGGCTTGCCGAATATCTCTTAGGGCTAGGGCTATGTGACTAAAGTGTATGGAGCAGATAAGGAACACGTCTGCAAGTCTACATGTACCTGAATTTCCTTTGCAACTCGTTGAAAGATTTTTCCGTCACCCAACAATGACCTGTGGCCCACGGTGGTGGTACCAGTACCTTAGTAAGGGTCGCTGAGTGTCGTCTAAGTGAGCTGACTGGTATATAGCTTAGCTCAAGCCACTAATACACGAAGCGGCATAAGCGGACCGTCCCACCATTCAATCAAGATACTTTAATGCAGCCAGGCACAGTGGTCAATCCTGTCGAGGCTAAGTCTCAATTCCTGAAAGATACAAGAGCCTTACTATACAACTTTTCTCAGTACCATGCATATCGACGCTTCCTCCTACTCACCAAAGCTACCGATATAGCTTGTCGCCCTCAATTATCCGTGTCGAGTACCTAAGCAATCCCATCAGCCCCTAGCGACTTCTTCTCCAAAGTTGCGGCTACGAAGAATTATCCCACGGAGGCAGAGCAAGAAAGTCAAGCCCCTTGCCATGACATGACTTACTAAGGTAGATTCCGATTCTGGCGGAATGATAGATACCCAGATGATCTGTCTCAAATGTATCACTTACATTACCCCAATACCCACCCCCAATACCACATCCTCGGAGCAATTTGAGAAAGGGCCAACCCCTGCAACAGGCCTGATTTGGGTTGACCATGCTACATAGTAACGGTAGTATGTCGCTACCTGTTGATCGTGCCACGCACTCCCCAAGGTAGCGAGGCAAGTGCGTGGCACCATCATGACCACTGTGACCAATATGACCACCGCACCCACTGGCACTCACCAGACACAGTTTGGCATTTTAACAAATAGCGATATGCATGACATCAAAAGTCATGGCCTGCTCCTCACACCTCCAAGTCTCCAACTGCCCTGCTTTCTTCTACATGTTACGAGTTGATAGTACATTGTGCCACCTGCTCCTGTGTGGTATTCTTTGCCGGTAATATTTGTGCCCACATTCTGCCTTGCTGTAGACTTTCCTGCTCCGTGGTATCTGATGTTGAAGCTTGTTTACCGACCTGGTTCGTTGCTGTCTCTATCTTACTTTCCACCTTCCTTGCCAGAGGCACGTCTCCAGGAGACTTCTTCGGCCCGTGCTTGCCATCTCAGACCAATTCTTTGCTAAAGCGTCTGCAGGTGCGAATGCGCAAGTCAAATCACAATCCTCCCCCTGCCCCTCACCGTTACTCCGAGCCTTGCGGGGGCTGCAATAACTTTACTCACGACCGCCGTTTCCTCACCGACCTCTCAGTATTCCCTGGGCTGCGATGGATCCTGCAATTTGGCTACAATCCCAAGTCAGGCGATTTGCGTCGACAACAAGAGCCATGTGCCCACTTGCCCGACCCTGGCTAACATTTTGGTCAATGGAGCTTGCGCTGCGGCTTCTGATCAAGACTTTGCTCAAACTATAGATTGTATCAACGCTCCATTGGGGGGTTCCACTGGGACTACAATGGTCTCATCTAGTTTTCTCTCCAACGCCGCTTCAGCCACGGCAGTGATGCTGAACTCGAGCACCTCGAGCGTGTTCCCCACCATAATCAGTATGGCAGTTCAATCAACTCCCTACGTCAATCCAAATCCTTACGGATGTAGTAGTAGACGGGCGATGTAAGCTTGCAGCCGTACGTATATCTGTATCTGAAATCTTCACTGACAGACCCTGTCATCAGCTCACAGGATTTGGGCATCCCAGCATCTATCACGACCATGTTTTGCGTCTGTGAGGGTACCACTTTGTAATTCCAATCCACCGTGATATCAGGTACGACCAGATTGCTATGTGCATATACATCCTCGCCATTTGCCACATCAACATCCATACAGTTACAGACATCCTCGCAAATGTCTTCTGCAGTGGCCACCGCGACTGGGTCGCCGTCTATGTTATCCTCAAGCGCATCAAGTTTTAAACCACATACGATCCTCACTGGTTTGCCTTCTGGGGATTACTCCCTTGCCAACTGTTCAAACTCAATAATTCCGGACCCGGATTCTCCCGATTATGTGACCAAATGCTTGTATTCCAATTGCCAAGAAACCAAAGACGTACTTTGACCGCCAGATCTCTTCATTCTTCATTTAAGCGCTGGGACCCTAGAAATCACGACTGGTGACAAAGACTGAAGATTACTCTATTATGGCGATCGTAGTCGCTGACTTCACGCTTACAGCATGCTTCCACAGGTTATATTGTTGTGGAAGCAGGTATGATAGTACTCTTCTCTCCACGAACCCACAGCCCCTATTCGCCGACCCTAATCTCAACGCTGACGCAACTAAGATGCCTACGAAATTCATGTTGTCTCGGGTATTGAAGACGATTTGTGGACACGAGGCGATACAAGAATATTTACATCCTGATAACATTTGATTAATTCCACACTGCAAAGCTATGTCATCCCTCTAGAGCGTCAGTATAGGGAAACCTTGGCACAAGCACATCGAAGATGAATTGAGAATGTGGAGAAAGGCTGTTGGAGTGTACTTGGGAAGAGGAGAGGCGTCTTTGGTCGTAGGTAGTGTCTTCTATGTATTTTATTTGGCAGTGTCATATTTTGCAGTGTAGATGCAAAAAAGGGTTTAACAAACGGAGACTCCACCACTCTTCTTAGTGAGGCATTTGAACCGACTAGGCGTCGGATCTCCGGATATTGGGGCAGCTGGATATCATCGCGGGTAAGTACCTTACAGTATCGGAAGCAGTTCGAGGCCAGGATCCCATCAACAAACCCCGCAAACATGAATATAAATAATTGTGGGGGTGGAGCTGTGGGGTAAATGATTCGGCCCTTCTCGTTTTTTTGCTGCGGGCTTTGCTTTGTCGAAACTTTGTTCGTTGGGGATCGAAAACCCCAAATTTCCGGCTTACCTTTCGAGTCTCGATGGATAGGTAGATTAGACGTGGGTGGGAGATAAGGCACACAGAATGGGGGGCATCGATGAGAAGAGGATTCGAGCAGTGTGCCATTCCAAGGAGAATGTGGTGAAAAAACAGCGACGGATGACGATGTCGAGGGGTTCAAAAAAATCTTCTTCCGGCAAATTACGCCTTACCCAGTTGAGGACTAGCGTAGCTGCGTTGCCAGCCATTGCCAAGAATTTCAGACCTTTGTGCATATACGCTTATAGCTTATCCCCGGACCCGGCGCAGCGGTTCATTTCGTTATTTTTCTCACAGCATAAAAAGGAACGCTGTTTTCCAGCACCTACATGAATTGCCAATAAATAACCCTCCCCTCCTGCTCTTCATGAATTGTATGGTGGATGCATCGACTTTACTACCTTCCACCCCGTTCTCTGCTCACTGGCTACCTCATTAATAAAGGACCTTAGTGCCTCCGCTTCACAGTCTCAGAGAGGAAATACTTATTGCTGCTGAAAG